GGCTGACCAAGCATTTGTTTTTGACGCGCTGTGAGTGAGAATGTGTTGGATGAGCGTATGGACCGTTCTAGTGGGAAACAGGCTTCAATACAAGCAATTGTTTTCCGCTTCGTCCGCTTTGTCCTGGTGCCCAACCTACGTCCATGGCTGCACCTCTGGAACGATGCAGGAGTAAATAAGTCGTTAGGTCACGTGTTGGAATTGTTGCGTCTCAGAAGCATAGAACCTGATCCTATATTTAGCATTGCGGCGTGCTGCTTCTGGGACGCGTCTGAAAATTGCCACGTTGCGGCTGGTAAGATCACCTCCAGTGATGTCAAGAAACCTAAACTCTTCACGTCCACAAGCAACTGCTGAGCATTCACAAATCGTCCCCTTGGTTGGAGGTTTCTGACAGAATCTATTTTGTGCCATTTATTTTCACTTTCATGTAAATGACAGCCAATCCTTATCTTTGTTTTGTGGCATACCTGGCTAGACTCAGAGAAGGGGTTCCTTTTCACTAGAAAAATAAACCTAGAAATCCCACGCATACTGGTAATCAGAAAATACAGAAGATATGAGGAAAAACTGATGAAGACTGGGAAGAGTAAGGAAGTGAGAATGAAAATAAGAGACGATGTCCTAAATTGATTTGTCGTTGAATCAGATTTGTCCTTTGTTGAAAGGAATTCTACTGAGTGGTGTTAGTGTGTAAGGCTCTGAGATCAAATCTGCTGTAAATTGGAACAAATGACGTGAATTTAATGAAATAAGTATCAAGAGGAGTAGAGATGATGCAGAGTTCAGGTGATGGAATGCTCCAGTTTAATCAGCTGGGGACCCCCCCCCCCCCCCCCCCCCCCCCCCCCCCCCCCCAACATTTTTACCTTCGAAGCACTCAAAAGGTAAAAGCCCCGAGTCCCAAAATATTTATTTAATAGTTCAAATTGTGCTTTAAACAAAGAAGTCAGGTAAAACATTTAGGGGTTGCTTCTGGTTTGACTAAGTTAACATAAACATCCTCCCATCAAGTTTTATTATAACACATCTAAAAGTTCTCAGCAGTGTTTGTGGGAACCTGAGAGCCGAAGAGTGAGGATGGTTTTGTATGGAATAAAACTGTGACTGTGAGAGAAAATGTTTCAGCACACTTCACTTGGATGTGTGAAAGCTTCTTATTGGGTTTCTTTGTGAGAGAACAATTTTAGTAGCTGGAAGCCTTACAGCTTTTGTATGTGTGCACATTTGTCACTAAGTGAGTGGGTTCAGATCCTTATGTGTCCGGTGTTAGGATTCGTTTTTTAAATTCATGTCTGTATTTTTTCTTTTTTTAAGCCACCCGGGACTCTTTGCACGAGTTTAACAGTCATTTCACCTGCTTTTCTTGGCAGCCAAAACTTTCCCAACTCCATCTTTTTTGGAAAGTTGCTCAGAGATCTTTGTTGCTTCTCTCTGCTTTGGGGAATTGTTCCACACACCAAGGTGCTTTTCACAAAGGGGCCAAGGCAAGCCAAGAAAACACAAATCCACACTTGCATCATTTACTGAATGCAGTAGAAACCACTTAGCTCATTATATCAGCACCATGTCACTGTTTGCTGAACATAATCAAATCCCTTGTTGGTCAGAGAGCTAAAGCAGAGCCAAATGGCAAAAAATCCCAGCTGTGGTTTGTGTCGAGATAATGAAATCTTGGTCAGGTTTGCAACAGAGGAACCACTGAGACAGAGGAGGATTATCTTCATATCTTGGAATCGCTCTCCTTCACAAAAGCCCACACACACCATCACAGTGGGACTGCGTGTTCGGCAACAGGTTTAGACTCACGACTACATATCGCTGTTGCCCGAAGTGTTCAATTTACGTGTGCAGCAAAATGTGTGCCAGCTGCTTTGCGCACATGATGTCAAGGGTACAAGTTGGGGACTTTATGCCAGATTCTCATTAGCCAGCCCCAGCAGCCTAACAGCATCTAATGAACTCTGCAGAGCAGTATTGTCTCCTCCAGTCAGCGGGGAAATCACATTACAGAGCAAATCTTTAACCATCGCCCACCTCTTTACCAACATGTGCTCACAGCTTCTTCAACACCTCCAGGTGCAGCACCGATTCAGTTTTAGGATTCTTCAATTTCTCTTCTTTGCTTAAACAGAATTTAAACACTGAGTTGGTCTTCTGGAGAAATGAGGTCATCTTTGAAGCCAAAAGCTGGTCAATTATGCTGAAATGAAATATTATGTATTATTTATCTCTTTGTTATGTAAAAGCTGTCATTAAAAGAAAACCGATACCGATTTTTCTGATAAAACATTTTAATGCTGACATTGGCCAATATTATTTGTCACAATTGCTTGAAGATGTTTTTTTTGCAAATTCTTTAGTTCCTCGTTTTAACAGATGTTTAAAGTAAATAACTAGATCTCAAGCTTTCTAATAAAACATTATTTTGTTCCATCAACTGGGTATAAAATGATGCAAGGCTGAAAAAAATTCAGTGAGACAAATTAAAGAGAAATAAAAATAAATGTCAATAATTAATTTCATCTTCAGAAAAAGTTAAAATGTCCCTGTTTTAGAACAATAAATAAATAAATAAATACTATTGTAGTACAGTTATTTTCCATTTTAAATTGTAATTCATACTTGAAAAAAATACTCCATTGTTTATTAATATGATATATTTTGTATATTACAGTGAAATGATTTTCTACAATTAGCAAGATAATTCTAAAGTGTTTTATAATCATTTATGTTGTTCAAAAATAATGTTTATTTGACCTTGTTCATGTTTTTTATTATGGGACTTCTTTTACCAGAACAGGTAACATATTTGTGCACTTCGTTTTCTCCCCTATGGTTTTCTCAGATTTTCAGCATGAAAATAAATGTTTTACAAAATGGTAACAACAGAAGAATACTTCTGTTATATACCACAGTACTACACTGGGCGTCCCTATAAAGGGTAAATGTTAAACTCGTTTACTGTATAGATGTGGTTTAGTGTTCAGGATGCAGAAAACTCAGTGAGAGTTTAATAAACTTGTTTAAAAAGCACAGAAAGGCATCTCTAGAGACTGACTGACCTGGGGCTACAGTACAAGGAAGGCTTGTTTTAATTACCTCAGTACAGTTTACAATCAACCAATATAAACTCAGAAACCAAGTTATTAAAAAAATAGCACTAATATAAAAACCAGATGTTTTCAAACTAGAGTAAACCAAATAAAAGCTGTTATTTTTTTTACGCTGAGCATCAGTTCATTTATAAATGAAGGAATTACGTCTACTGGGAAAAACAACTTTTAATGTTTTTATCAAACAACAGGACTGTTTAACTGAGTGATTATAAAACACAAAGTTTAAAATCAGACTATTAGAATCCTCAGTCAAATGTTAAGAGTTTGGGTTTAACTTTGATTTTCCTGCATTTTAAGCACAAAAGAATTTGAATCTTTATAAACCTTAACAAATCTCTTTAAAAACCACATGAAATAGTTCAAATCTGCTGACGCAAAAGCAGAAGAGAAAAGATTTCTAGCTTTGTGTGTGATAAATGCTCAATGTTATTTTCTGTTCTAAAATGAAAGAAAAACCTAAAAAGACAATCAAGCCGGACTGCATGCATTAAAGGTAATTATTGATGATTAGTTTGCTCTTGTGTTAAAGGTGGAATATGGAACACGAACACCAAAGCGACATCTAGTGAGTGGAGGTTGTAGTTGCAACAAAAGAACAAGGTTTCTAGCCATCGGGATACCAGGTTTGCTGCTGATACGTGACCTTTTTTTATTTGGGTCCATCTGCTGTAGGCTTCACCTAAGCTCACTCTGGTTTGAGATCTTTTATGGTCGCTCCTCTTCTGAGAAGGATAACACCATCTTCTGGGCTCAGAAGCAGCTGATTGACTTGTCGAGTCTGCCGTTTTCCACAGGGCCAGCTTTGCTGTGTAGACTGTTTAGCAACCTGCAATAGTGCCCTCTATTGGCTGGTAGATGGAAACATAAACCCAGTGTTGTGCCTTCAAAATAAATATTTTATTATATTTTTAAATTAAAATCAAGCTTTGAAAGGAAATACTGTACTTTCATTGTGCTACCTCTAAACGCCCTATGAATGTATTATTTAAAAAAATTAATTAGTTGCATATTCAACCTGTAAGTGCTGTACTTTATCTTTTTCATACGTTTTATTGCACTCACTAACATAAAACAGAAACATCAACAACAAAGACATCAACAACTGTAATGAAATCTTATTGATTAATTTCTTATTTTCTGGTTTATTTTCAGGTTTATTTCTTTTTTGTGTATGAAAACTAATTATTTCTCTTCAATAATGAGCTTCTCTACTTAATGGAATGATTATTAAATAAATATCTGTTGGACAGAAAGTGGCTTCTGTGTGTGAAATTCGTACTAAGGTTCTCCTTACAGCATGTGTGTTTTTCTCGGTCTTCTTCTGGCATATTTCCTTGCAACTGGCACTTTGGGAGTGAAAATCCCACTAATTAGGAGGCCCTAATTATTGCTTTTCTCCTCCTCTCCTTTCCTACTCCCATTCTCTCACCTCTATTTTCAGTCTAAGCCCCTACTTTAGAAGTGCCCCCTTTCTTTTACCTACTCTTCAAACAGCTAATGTCTTTTTTAAATTCCCATTCTTCTTTTTTCTGCCCCCATTGTTTCTCTGTCTCTTTTACAAATCTTTTTTTTCTTTCTGTGAGGCCGAAGAGTGGGTTATCCTTTTGTAATTAGGGAGAGAGGTAGAGATCAAGGAGCCAAGAAAAGCACACTTGGTTCCTTCTGTGCAGCGGCAGCGTGTGAAAACAAAAGCATTAATCAGGCCTACGGTAATTAGAGCAGAGAAGAAGTAAGTCAGAGATAAAGGGGGGGGGGGGGGGGGGGGGGGTTGGAGGGTTAAGGTGCAGGCAGCCAGCACAAACTTTAATTGTTTTGTTTTATTGCCTCTTCTTTCATCATTTTTCTCTCTTCACCCTCATCTGTTTTTCCTCTCTTCTACAGTTTGGCAGAACAGAGGTGATAGACAACACCCTGAACCCAGACTTTGTTAGGAAGTACATCCTGGACTACTTTTTTGAAGAGAAACAGAACCTTCGCTTTGACTTGTGAGTGATTATGTGTCATTATCTCTCCAGTACTCTGTCTTCTGTCACTTTCCCTCTGTTCTGTGCTAATATTTACAACTGTAACAATACATTCAGAATAAAAAAGGCCTGTTTGGTGAATCACACCTAGATTAAAGCCTGTGGAGCCTGCCATGTCTCCTCTAGAACTGAGAAAAAACAAATAAAAGTTAGAGAAGGAAGTCTCACTAAAGTTTCTCAGTACATTTATCATGCTTGCTACTGTAAAGCAATTTTTTTTAAAGTACTTGCATGGGAAATTATTCTGTAAATGCAGATTTATTAAATGTGTGCATGATCAAAGAAACTATTTTAATTGACACATTTTCAGATTTTGTTTACCACGGTTTTGGTCTTTGATGATGCATTGATCCTCTGTTGAAACTGTGAACTTTGGAGCTCCGTACGTAGCCCTTAAAAACCCAGACTGGAAGAAATACATCAAAATGTAGAAAAATTAAATGGAAGCATCATTTACTGTCTGTGAGTGAGGAAATGTAGGCGTAACAGCTACAAAGTAGATTCACATCATTAATCTATAAAAAAATAACAAGCTGGAGCTTGCCTCACCCACCTATCCCTGTCTCCCTGTTCAAGCTGCTATTAGTTGAGAAGCTCCGATATCAAGGAGGGGCTCAGAGTAGAGCTGCTGCGCCTGCAGCAACAGCTCTTTCTTGCATGTGCTTCTATTCTCATTTGTGACATCACAAACGAGGACTTACTGAAACAGCTTGTTTTAGGCACATAACTTCTAAAACCAAACACTAACACAAAACTCATGGATTTGGTCTGAATGTTAATAGAGGCATTAGAGACCCACAATAAGATGCAAAATTTACATTTTGCATAATATGTCCCCTTTAAACCCTTAAACTCTTTAACATTACAAGGTAAGACTAAGCAAACAGCTGGGTTTTGTAAAGCATTACACACTTTTATTTAAAAAAATAAAGAAAACTTGTATTGACATGTTTTTCAGCTGCACCATTTTTGACTCAAACTTCCTAAATTTTGTCTCATCTTCTGGTTTGTCAGTTAGGACACAGTAACTGATAATAACTAACCCATAGACATAATCTTCATTAACTTCCTTAACAGTTATTCTAGTGTCCATGTTAAACACAAACAACTTAATTTCCTTTACTTTACAATAAAAAGTAGGTCATTAATGACCGAATGTAAAACAGAAATATGTGAATTGACACTATGACAGCATTCACACCTGATGCTTAATAATCTCTTCATGTCATGTTGTGGTACATCACATTATGCTCCACTGTCTCCACTTTTATTGTTCTTATATTCACATGTAAATTAGATTAAGTCTATCTCTGAGAAAAAAAAGGTTCAACTGAGCCGTTCCTCATTTACTCTGATCAGAGAACATCTGAAACCATTCTTAGATCCAGCTTCGTTTCATCTTGGCCTCTTCTGAATTTAAAAATCTGATTAGGTCTTATAGCACACACACACACACACACACACACACACACACACACACACACACACACACACACACACACACACACACACACACACACACACACACACACACACAAACACACACACACACACACACACACACACACACACACGCACGCACGCACGCACGCATGCACGCACGCACGCACGCACACACATTTTAGCACATTAATACTTTATACATTTCATTCTTTCCTGATTTGTTTTATTGAAAACAGTTTTTGTCAAGGTTATGTCATTTTTGCACCTTCTGACTTTATTTTGGTTGCTTTTGAAGAAAAACCAAAGTTCTTAATTTTCAAGCTCAAAGTGAATGTATCTGTTTTGTGTGTTATATTACCTTTCAGGTATGATGTGGACTCTAAAAGCCCAGACCTGTCCAAACATGTGAGTGCACAAACATATTTAAACTTTGAACCACATCTAGAATAAAGTCTAAATTCTCCTTGATTGAGTTTGTTTGGCGTCGTTTTTGTGCTTTGAGGTTGAAATAATTGGTTTTCTGCATGTTTTAGCTTGATGTTGCCTGCAGCTTGTATTCATATAATTTTGTTACAGATGAAACAAAACAAACCCCTTTAACTGGTTGATAAAAATATAAATCCAAATGCAAACTGGTTATCTGTCTTTATTCAACACTGTTGGGTTTAGTACAGAACACCTGAACGGCATAAATATGTCATAATAAGTGTTGGTCTATATGTTGATTTTTCACAAAATCAGCAGTGGAATAAAAAAATATTTAATATACATGTATATTGTAGTTATATATATATATATATACATATATATATATATATATACATATACATATATATATATATATATATTCTATATCTGAAGAATAAAATAAAAATGAATAACTTGCTTTTCAGGGTTTCTGTAGCTCACAGATGATCTTATAATAGGGGTGTCCAAAATATTGCCTTTTGGCCACTTGCAGCAGAGTTATTTTGTGTGAAAATACGGTTGTGTGACACTTATCACCACATTTGCTCTTATTTTGATTTGATGCTAAATAGAAGCACAACTTCTCACTGAGAAGAATTTAGAAAACAGAAATACAGCAAAACTTACGAAAAGATGATATCATATTTTGTTATTGATGCTGATAATGAACCAAAATTATACCTCAATATGAAGAACACAACCAACAATCAAATTCAAGTTAGTTAAGGCTTTTTAATGGCACCCTTTAAATCTCTGGTATTCGCAAATATTTTCTGAACATTTTCTAAAAAAAGAAAAAAAAAGAAAATGCTGTTTCATGTATTTTAGGGCATGTACAAAAGACACATTAAAATCATAAAAGACACAGTCTAATCATAAAAAAACCCCAGTAAAATCATAATAATTACTGTTCATTACAGAAGTTACAGAACTTGTTTCTTAACAAGTACTTGCAACTTTTTGGCCCATGCCTGGAATATTTGGACACCACTGTTCTATTGATACGTAAAAGACTTTTCACAGTCGTGTATTACAGCAGTGATTGTGACATTGTATAAGTGTTGTGCACTTACTTGCTTTATAGTCAGAAAAAAAAATCAATGCTTTTAAATGTGAGTTTCCATCATAACCCAAGCACCAGTGCACAGTGTAGTTCTGTTTCACCAGGAGCGTGAGTTGATCACTTTTATTATTGCTGGAAACTACAGCAACAGAAAGCATTGATAAAAGGTTGGACCCAAAATAATCATTCTGGATGATTATTTGATGTGTTTGGATTATGGGGGTTTGTGTTTTTCCATCATGTGTGTCAGAGCTGCCTCTGGGTGTCGGTTCTGCAGCAGCATGTCTTTACTGTCGGTTTAAACAGAGCCAGGAGTCTTAGGTGTTTGGTTTAGTGTTGTGTTTCTGTATATGATGTGCTCTGTTGTTATTGTTGTTGCTGTTGTTGTCATTGCTGCTGCCGCCCAACTTTTCTGGAAGCCCGCAGAACTCAATGTAGGTCCCTGCATCTTTCTCACACTCACACTGCATGGCTTCTGTATCACATTAATGATTTGTCTCCCGGAGGGAAAGATAACATCAGTCATCAGACTTAAACTCCTGAACAAGGCTAAAGAAAGCCGTCTAAGCACCTCTGAACTGTTGCAGTTGGTACTTTTTAAATTGATATCACAATGATTAGTTTTTCCATGCATTTACATATTACTGAGTGGTTTGAGTGGGCAGAATGGACCAGAGACTTTCCGAAAAAAAAAAAATATATATATATATATATATATATATATGAAACACTTCAGGCTGATGATGAATTATTTAGTGGACCTGTCTGCCAAGGCCAGAGTTAAGGACTTCTGGTTTGGATTGCCCATCGATGTAATCCTAAAACCAAATCTAAATACAGATTGTTTGCCTGTCCTTGTAAAATAGGTACTGTTGAATGTCCAGTGTGAACACAAATGGAACAAAAATAGTCATTGTTTCTTGAAAAAAAAAAATCCCATCTCTAAAATTTCTTGATAAAACCGATATTGTAGTTAATAGGTAATCAGGCTCATTACCATTGATCAGTGTTTTTAGAATTTCTCCATATTACAAAAATACCAGTAGTGTTTAAAAGCCTGGATATGGCAGGAAAACTTGCATAGGTTAGAGGTAGAGATCCAAGAAGCATTCAAGTTTCGCTCCTTTAAATAGGAGAAAACAACACATCTGTGTTTTTGAGTTGTATTAAAACAGGTCAAGTTTCAAAACCCAACATGGGCCAAACGAGACATAAACAGGAAGAATGCAAAGGCTGTCTGAATCTAACATTGGGAATATGTTATCCTAAACTTGCATCAAGATTGTGACTAGATAAGTGCGGTTCACACAGCAGGATAACACAGATATTTCGCTCCTTGCCTCCTGACAGTCGTACGGATTGCATGATTGGTGTAACTACTCTAAATTCAATTTAATTCAATTCAATTCAAGTTTATTTATATAGCGCCAAATCAAAACATGAGTCGTCTCAAGGCACTTCACATAGTAAACATTCCAACACAGGTCAATACATTAAGCCAATCAGAAAAAGTTTCCTATATATGGAACCCAGCAAATTGCATCGAGTCACTGACTAGTGACTAGTGTCAGTGACTTTCCAGCAATCCTTATACTAAGCAAGCATGCAGCGACAGTGGAGAGGAAAAACTCCCCTTTGACAGGAAGAAACCTCAAGAGGATCCTGGCTCAGTATAAGCAGCCGTCCACCACGACTCACTGGGGATCGAGAAGACAGAGCAAACACACACACACACACACACACACACACACACACACACACACACACACACGCACGCACGCACGCGCGCGCACGCACGCACACACACACACACACACACACACACACACACACACACACACACACACACACACACGCCAAGTAATGATTCTATGGTTACATTGTGGTTTCTTAGTAAATATTCTATTTGGTGAGAGATAAACTTTATTGTATTTATCCTAGTGAATCTATAATTAAACAGGTAAACTAGTAGTAGCACATTCAATGTCAAGGAAAGTGAAGTGTTGTTATCAAGAGAGGGAGAATGATTAAATGGTTAGCAACAGTGTTCAAGACTATGGCCCCATCCACGAGGCTATCACAGCTCAGCAGAACATCATTTTAGCTTCTTCTGGGGAGAAAAACACTTAGAGAAAAAATAAAGTTAACAGCTGAAATTGCAGGAAATAATACAGTTAAAGAGCAGATTGTAGAAGAAAATAGTAGGGTGTGTATAGTGGTCAGTGTGTCCTCCATCAGTCTAAGCCTATAGCAGCATAACTACAGAGATAACTGGATAAACTAGCCTTTTAGATGGAGGCATGTTGGAGGCAGGGCAAGGGAGAGCCGTCTTTACCGACTGTACACTCCCCCTCCCTCTACTCCCTCACTTGTCCAGATCTAGGCTAACATCAGATTTTAACCATAGGCCCTATCAATGTTTTAAGCCTAGTCTTAAAAGTAGACAAGGTGTCTGCCTCACAGACTAAAGCTGGGAGCTGGCTCCACAGGAGAGGAGCCTGATAGCTAAAAGATCTGCCTCCCATCCTATTTTTAGATATTCTGGGAACCACCAGTAAACCTACAGTCTGAGAGCAAAGTGATCAGTTAGGAACATATGGAACAATCAGGTCACTTATATATGATGGAGCTTGTTAAGAGCTTCCTGGTCGGGTCATACCAAAGACTTTGAAAAAATGGGACCCAATGCCTCCCTGCTTGACACTCAGCATTAAGGGGTTGGATCGGGGGGTTAAACCACCAAAAGGTTCCCGAGCGCGGCTGTGTCTGCAGCTCACCGCTCCCCCAGAGGATGGGTCAAATGCGGAGAACAAATTTTGCACACACATCAGTGTGTGTGACAACGAATAGGACTTTAACTTAACTTTAACTTTATATGTGAGAATTAGGATCTTAAAATCTATTCTGATTTTAACAGGCAGCCAATGTAGGGAAGCTAAGACAGGAGATATATGATCTCTCTTTTTAATTCTCATCAGAACTCTAGCTGCAGCATTTTGGACAAGCTGAAGACTTTTAACTACATTCTGTGGACTTCCTGAGAGTAATGAAATACAGTAATCCAGTCTTGATGTAATAAATGCATGAACTAGTTTTTCAGCATCACTCCTGGAAAGGATGCTTCTAATCTTAGCAATATTCCGAAGGTGGAAAAAGGAAATCCTACAAACCTTTTTAACATGGGATTTGAATGACATGTCCTTGTCAAAGATAATACCAAGGTTCCTTAATTTGTTCTTGGAGACTAATTTAATGCCATTCAGGCCAGGTGATTGACTAAGCAATTTCCTTTTCTGATTTTCAGGTCCAAAGATGAGAACTTCAGTCATGTCTTGATTTAAAAGCAAAACGTTTTGAGTCATCCAATTTTTTTATGTCTTCAAGACAAGCCTGTAATCTACCTAACCATTTAGGTTCATCAGGGTTAATGGATAAATAAATATAACTGAGTATCGTCAGCATAACAATGGAAGTTTATCCCATGCCGTCTAATGATTTTACCAATTGGGAGCATATATATTAAAAAATAATTGGTCCAAGCACTGAACCCTGTGGTACTCCACAAGTAACCCTGGAGTATGAAGAATATTTGTCATGTACATTTAATAAATGATATCTATCAGACAGGTAGATTTTAATCAGCCTAGCACTGCTCCTTTGATCCCTACAATATGTTCAAGCCTTTCTAAAAGAAAATTGTGATCAACTGTGTCAAAAGCAGCACTGAAATCTAACAAGACTAGAACAGACACAAGAGTATTATCTGAGGCCATGAGAATATCATTTGTAATGTTCACTAATGCAGTTTCAGTGCTGTGATACTCTCTAAAACCAGATTGAAATTCCTCAAACTGATCATTAGTGTTTAAATGCTCACATACTTGGTTGGCCACTATTTTCTCAAGAACTTTGGATAAAAATGGAAGGTTTGATATTGGTCTATATTTCACTGGGTCATCTGGGTCCAGAGTAGGCTTCTCAAGTAAAGGTTTGATTACAGCAACCTGAAAATCCTGTGGTACGTATCCATTTACTAAGGATATATTGATTATATCTAGAATGGGGGCAGTAACCAAAGGAAATGTATCTTTAAATAATTTGGTTGGGATTGGATCTAAAATGCAAGTTGATGGTTTAGATAATGCTAATATTTTTGATAACCCTGAAAGCTCAACTGGATAAAAATGGTTCAAACACAGATGAGGTTCTACATTTACCTCAGATGCTGCCTCACTTACTGAGGAAGAAGAGATCACATTCGGGAGGATTCTAAAGATTTTGTTTCTAATAGAATTAATTTTACTTGTGAAAAATCCCATAAAGTCGTTGCTGCTGAGGGCTAAGGGAATAGATGGTTCAGAGCTTTGATTCTGTGTAAGTTTGGCTACTGTACTGAAAAGAAATTTTCGATTATTCTTATTCTCTTCAATTAGCGATGAAAAATAAGCAGTTCTGGCTTGTTGAAGCTTATTTTTATAACGCACAAGACTATTTTTCGAGGATAAGTAGGACTCCTCCTGGTGTGTAGAGCACCACGTTCTCTCAAATTTTCTAGAGTTTTGTTTTAAAGTTCGTAAATGAGGTTTAAACCAGGGAGCCAACTTCCTGTCCCTAATGACCTTCTTTTTTAAAGGGGCAACATCATGTAATACTACACGTAAAGAGGAAGTAACATTATGAACTAAAGCATCAATTTGTGAATGGCTAGAAATAAAAATCTTGCCCTCTGCTACATTCCTCTGAGATGCTGAAGATGGTAAAGATGGAACAGTTGATTTAAAAGATGCAACAGCGTTCTCAGATGGAGACCAATTATAGTGAAATTTACTTTCATGTCTCGAGAACTCAATTGTAAATAACTCAAAGGTTATCAAAAAGTGGTCAGAGAGGACTGGAATATGTAGAAATATCGTTATTTCCTCACACTCTATGCCATATGTCAGCACAAAGTCTAATGTATGATGGCAGGAGTGGGTGGAGCTATGTATTCTTTGTGTAAAACCATTTGAGTCTAAGATATTACTAAAGGCTACATTGAGGCTATCATTTTCAATGTCCACATGAATGTTAAAATCCCCCACTACAATCACCTTATCAGTATTTAGCACCAAATCAGATTAAAAAAAATCAGAGATCTGATCCAAAAACTCTGAGTAAGGGCCTGGTGGACGATATAAAACTACAAACAAGAGTGGTTCTACAGTTTTGCAATCTGGATTAGGAAAACTAAAAATAAGATGTTCAAAAGAAGTGTAACTATTAATTGGTAAGGGATTGATTAATAAGTCCGAATGAAAAATGGTTGCTACTCCTCCTCCTCGCCCTGTACTTCGAGCAATATGATGATTTAAATAATTAGAAGGAGTTGACTCATTTAAACTAATATAGTCCTCTTGCAGCCAGGATTCTGTGAGAGAGAGCAAAGAAATCTGATTATCACAAATCAAGTCATTAACTAACAAAATCTTAGAAAATGTTCAGTAACCCACATTTAATTTTTGCAGTTTTCTGCTCAGTTGAATTTGTTCTAATATTTATGAGATTTCCATGATTTGCTTTATTAAGCCTGATATTTAATCTGTGTGGTTTTGGCCGTGGGCAGGACACTGTCTCTATGGGGTAGTGGGTGGGTAATGATAATCTTATAAGATAATCCTACCTTGTGGCATTTTTTATGAGGGTTGGTTATGCTCGGAAGGACACTGGCATGATAAAGCTAGGCTTTCAATTGTGTTGGATTGTCTTGATCTTGTGTACAAACAAGCATGCTGCCTGCTTAATGTGACATCTAACCAATCAGGATATGAGGTGACAGAAGGGTGCAGCACAGTCCTCTTCCACTGTGTTTTGTTTACTTCGAAGTCACGTTTTAGCTTATGAGACTTCCCGTCTGAATAGGGATGGACCGTGAGTGCGTGTGTTCATCAAGTTGCTGCACACCACACACTTTAAGACTAACATTGGTTCATCTTTGTGTGTGGTCTCTCATGCAGTTAAAAAATCAACTGACGTTTTAAATATCCTGCCTTGTGAACCGGGCTTTTGTCAAAACTTTTTCTTAAGTTTATGATTTAGCCAAAGCAGTTTGACACTTAAGACTTAGAAGTGACGGTTTTGGACCCCACAAGAATACAATGTTGTTTTTGCTCCAGCTGTACCCCAGTAAGGCACAGTTTTGCTTGTTTGTTTTCTATGAAATTTGAATCATTTAGTTTGGTTCACTTTCTGATGCTTTAGCTGACACTGACTGTCTTTCCCTCCGAGCGGCTGTAGTAATACTACTTCCAAGATTTCCCATGTGGTTGCCTGGTCTTTATCTTGATTTAGTTTTAGAACTTGCAACCTTTAGCGTAATACTTTGACACATGTGGAAGTCCTCTTCCACTCAGTTGATGACATCAGTGTTTGTTGCAATTACTGGTCAAACTTTGTATTCCTAATTTTATAGCATAGTACGTTTTCTTCCTTTCTATGAGGCAATGATATATACCAAATCACCAAGACAGTGACATTAATCCAATGGAAAATATATATCAAAACATGCTAACAACCATAAGTAAAGTCACTTTAATACAACTGCAAATCAAGCTCGCTTTTAAACACAAACACACGATCACAGAACTCTCACCCTTCCCGTCGGGTATCATCTCTAGGCCACGCCCCCTTGAAGTGGGAATGTGCATTGCCACAGTAAATGCTTCAACTTTAGGACAAGCTACCAGATCCCAAAATGAAAAACACCATTTGAAGTTTCAGACAACAAAAGACGTTTGGATGTAGAAAACGGCAACTGGTGTTTAGTGCTCTCTCGTTTCCACTGGCAATGTGTGTTTCAGTTCTGGCGGACGTGGCCTAGGGATGATAGCCAACAGGATGGGTGAGTGTACCATGTCCGTGTTTGCATTTTAAAGCTAGCTCGTTTAGCAGATTTGCGATTGCAGCTTTAATCTTCACAAAATATTTATAGCTATGTTAGAAAAAATGTTTTAAGCCATTTTATTTTGCGTATTAGCAATTGCAGCTTTAAAGCCAGCGCTAGTTTATATTTCTCTATTGAAGTGGTACTCACTCCTGGTCCTGGAGAGTGGGTATTCAGCATATAATTACAGAATGTACAGTAATGTAAATACCCATGCAATGTGACATTTATGATCAAATACAATTTTATAGTATGATACTTGCATGAAGTGCATTGAAACATTTAAGATTAGAGTTGTTTTATGACAGCAGAAACACAGTTTCTAGTCACACTTAACATAACTGTTAGGTCATTTGTCTGGTCAGAACTAAGCTCTGTTTCTTCAAACTGAGGGTCTTCAAAGAACATGTAAAACATTTTTAGTTCACAGCATTTGTACAAGAAGTCCAGTCCAAGCATGGGAACAATTTATTTTAAGTTTTCATTCAGCTCTGGGTGTGACTGTAAGTTAGTTTATTTAACCAACGATTTATTAAACATCATCATAAATGATTACAGAGCATGTTAGTAATTATCTTTTATTTGTAGGTATTTTAGACTTCAGAACATAATCCCTTTGCCTCACCCCCCTCAGGGGCACAAGTTGTCTATTACGAGTTAGAAGAAAAAAAAACACATTTCATCACTCCTCCAAATCTTTTAAAGTTTTAAGAGCTGTGATGTCAAAGTTCAATGATCTGCACAGTAAAATAATTAATGCAAAAGCTGAATGATTCTGTTTGACCTGCAAATGTGAATGAGCATGGTTAAATAATTTTATTTTGCAAAAAAAGAAGCTTCAAATCATAATTTGCATGAACTCCATAAAGATAGTTTTTAGTTCTGACCCTGCCATATTTTTGTTTGTCTGTTTTCCCTTTTTTGAAATGTAAAATCTCAAAGTCCTACTTACTTTCTCCTGTTCTTCCAACATTTTCTCCTTCATTGCCTGCAGGACTTTTTGGGTCAGATGTTCTGTACTCTCGGGGAGATTGTTGGATCACCAGCCAGTCGACTGGAAAAACCACTGGGGTGAGTAAGAGTTGAACGCAGTTTTCTCGTTTCTCCTGACTTTAAGTGCGGTGACGAACCGTTTTTTGCACAAAAAATGAAAGCTTGAACTTTTTTTCTGATGCAGACATAATTAATTTGTTTACTGAAACACCCTAAAATCAGTCAAAATGGATGTGTTCAGATCCGATGGTTCAGATATACAATTTAGGAATTTGGTTTTATTTGCGCTGAGAAAAAATAATCTAATTCAGTAGCAACAGTAGCTGAGTCAGAAACAAAGAGAATGACACAAAGTGGAAAGGGGAGAGGATGAACATTGGTGATTAAGACGGAGATGTGAGGAAATACATGGATCATACAAAGTAAGATGAGGGGTGAGGAAGGAGACAGCACGTCTTCAGATGTTTTCCACAAATAATTATTATCATTAAAGAAAATGGAGAAGAACAGAGCAAAATTACCCAAATTACAGCTGGTCTCTTCCGTCTGTGCCTTACATAAGCAGAACAGAGTATTAATGGGGACCCTGTGGTCTGTCTTTCTACATATGCCAAGCATCATCATCTTCATCGTCGCTCTGCAGGACCATTGTTTGGATCAGGTGAAATCCATTCAGGGCTGCACCACCCTACACTGTGTAGTTTACTCATAACTAATTCACCTACTGAATTGTTTATTGATCACTGCAAATATTTGTATAGTTAATCTGAAGTGTTTTAAGTAGACTTTGTTTCAGTTTAATTCCAATGATTGATTTTTGTCTAATTATAACCTTATTACAGTCATGGGTTGTAATGCAAGCAGATAGGTATTTTATTTCAAATTCCATTTATGTGTTACAGAACCGTTTATTGAATGTCTCACAGCCACATTATACTACACCAGACTACTGGAAGGCTTGTGCTCCTCCAAAGCCTTTTAGTAGCAGTTTTGATCTTTTGAAGTGGACTTCTGTGAAAAGTTATGAACAATGAATATCTATGAATATTTTAGAAGAGTGTCTCATGGACTGCAACTGTTGTCGACAAACGGTGAACAAAACTGTAGAGCAATAAATGTGAGACAACTTTATGATGGGTTGAATATTTACGAAAGTGATTTGTCACTAATTCAGTTAAGTTCACTTAGACAGCACCAAATCACAAGAAGAGTCGTCTCAAGGCACTTTACACATTTATATATTAGTGCATTGAGTTCGGTTCATTATGTCAATTAGGTTCCTATGTGAGAAAATCCATCAGGTTGCATCGGGTCACTGACTTGTTTTGTCAGACTTTACAGCCATCCTCATACTAAGCAAGCATGTAGTGACTGTGGAGAGGAAAACTCCCTTTTAGCAGGAAGAAACCTCCAGAGGATCCTGGCTCAGTATGAGCAGCTATTCGCCACAACTCACTGGGAATGTCTGCTGATGGTCCCCTGCAGGAAGGTACAAATTGGAGGCATATTAAAGAAGAGTCTGGCATCATGAACATCTAACAAAATTGTAAATGAAATAGTGACAAATTGCAAACAAGTAATGATGTAATTAAAAACTATCTAAACTCTTCAAACTGTGACGAGAAAAGTTGCATGCCATTTGCAAATAAAGTCATCCAAATGTTACCATACCTCTTCATTTGTAGAACGCTCTCAATACAACCGACACTGCACATTAGTGAAATAGCAGTCATAAGTAGTCACACTGGTTATAAAAATATTTAAAAAAAACAAGGAAGTAAAATCCAGTGTTTATTTATTTGCAGTTTAGACATAAACATACATATTGTATGTACCAATTAAGTGTGATGCTAAAAAAGTTTAATTTCTTGTTGTTTTGTGTCAGATTTTATCACCAGCAGCCCAGCGAGATGATGGTCTGGGGTTTTTTCATGCCACAAAAATGTGTAATAATTTTACCTCTCATCCTTTTGTAGCCTAGAAATAAAGATTAATCTAAGTGTTAGCAAAAGATTTTTTCCCAAGTCTGGTCTAGTCATGTTCCATTATGTCCTGAGCAGGTCAGCCATTGGCTCTGCCAAGTTTAGGCATGGCCAATCACAGCACCTTGTTGGTAGAGAGATACTGATTGGGCTTAGTACCATTATGGCAGAGCTTTGTAAAGCTTATTTGGTAGCAGAACTACGACGGAGCAAAACAACAACGGTGGTGTCGGCTCAGGAACGCCGCTCATTTGAAATGGCTTTGGCATCACCTTTAGACAATTTATTTATTTTATTTAGTTGTTTTGTTGGAGGATAAAACCTCTTAAGATGAAACATCTCAGTTTCGAGAAGGTCCTCCATCCATATAACATAAAAATTGAAAGTTAGCAAGACAACAAATAGCTGAAAAATAACCAAACAAAAATACTGTAAATCCTCCAATACAGGCCCGGGCCTGTATTTGACTCAACCTCATCAAGCTCCAGGCCTTTATTGGAAGGAGGGCCAGAATTAGAGACAGGCCTCTATTTCTATTTGAGCAAAATGAACTAATGGTTCGCTGGAGTTTTTGACAATTAAAATTGTGCCCACATTTTCAAAGTTAAACACATTTCTTTTAACAACTGTAGTTTCTGCTTCAGCCCTCTCCCCCCTCCCCCTGCGCAGCTGCCGCAAACTCACTGATGCGCCTGCAGCCTCTCGGAGTTCCTGCTGCTCTAAACATTAAAATAATTATTTCATTTTCTGTTCCTCACTTCTGATTACCTTCAATGGTGTCTGTTTGTTGCAACCACCAGGTACAAAAACTAACTTGTTTTTATTTGACTATTTTTCTGTCCTGCCTGTTTATTATCTTCCTGCATCTCCTCTCAATCCTAAAGAAAAACTGCTACCTGGGTTCATATATATTCACCTTATGAGTTACCTTTGAACTGCAGTCCTAAAAGATCTACCAACCACAAAAACAGCGGAGTGCTCGCTGCTTGGTGGCCGCATCAGTGATCGGTGCGTCGGAGGACAAGGTGATGCGCCCCGCTCCACAGCAGCGAAACACATCAGGCGCAAATAAAAGACAGAAAACATTAAAGGAAATGAACCGACATGAACGATCGCGTGTTAAATTAGTTTTGAGGTGGCGACACCTGATTTGATAATGTTACTGTGGCTGTGCTCAGGACGCAGATCTACCGACCTCAAAAACAGCGGAGTGCTCCCTGATTGGCGGCCGCATCAGTGATCGGTGCGTCACCGGAGGACAAGGTGATGTGCCCCGCTCCACAGCAGCGAAACAGATCAGGCGCAAATAAAAGACAGAAAACATTAAAGGAAATGAACCGACATGAACGATCGCGTGTCAGTACCGACGCTCTGGCACAGCGCGTTGCCCCCCGTAGTGCAGGAGCTTGTCACCTGCTGACAGCAGGCTGCTGTCTTTTCCGAGAGCTGCATCTTGCCGTTCATCATCACGTGACAGCAACTAGTCGACTACAGGCATAAAAAGTCACTATAGTGAAGTCGACTAGTTCATACAACCCCTGCTACTGCTCCCCAGAGTGTTCTGCAGCATAAGCAGCACGTTCTCTTTGAACTTGATATCAAATTTTCGCCTCCTCTTCGTCTCCGCACGGTTAAAGTTACCCTCGCGGTCTATCACTGGCAAATCAAAAGTGAGACGATGACACAACCGCCCCCCTGTGGTACTTGCTTGTTACCACATTCCACCCGGCCACAATAAGAGACCGGCCATTATTCACCTCCGCCGACTCCGACACCGGCCAAAATATGAGACCCGGCCTTTAATTGAATACAGGCCTGTATTAGAGGATTTACAGTAAAAACGTTAAAAATAAGAAAGAGAACTAAGGTAAAAAAATGAAAAAAATTACAGTTTGCTGGAAAACAAAACAACCACAATTTAGAAAAGTTAGACTTGGATTTTCCTCTGAGACATGAGCCATAGATTCCACCACCATGTCCGAGCTCTGTCTATGGGTTGTTGGCAGTCATATTTACATATATAGGATGGCTAATCAGTCTAGTCATTCTGCACGGTTTCTTCAGAATCATCTTAAGCCACTCATGAGTTTTATCCTGTTTCTTCTATTCTTTTCACCTAAATTGAAAAACCAAAGTAAATACTGATAATCTGATCTGACAAACGACAACAAAGCAATAGTCTTGTATGCAAATGGCCAAATCTCCATATCATCTGAGTGTTGCATTGAAATCCCACAGCAGTGACATTGTGCTGAACAAGCTGAAAACAATATTTATTTTTCCTTCTTTATTAATTGGCTTGCAGCCGGCGCTCTCCATGGGGGTCCTTTCTATTGTTTTCATACATTTAGTGTTGTATTGTGAAAATTTACAAGAAGAGAATGCTGCCTTGTCTGTTGTGCAGCAGACACCTGTGTAGAAATGTACCGTGTAATAAATAACACGCTGGGTGTGTGGCTGTTTGCAGGTCACACCAAAATACTGACAAAGTTTTCTTTAAATGCATGTTTAGTAGAGACTATCGACTTAAAGTGTGTTTAATGAAACAAACCAAGTAGATGTTGGGTCAGTGATGACTTAAAGGTTACAGAGCAGTGAATTATTATACCTAATGTGTGTGTGTGTGTGTGTGTGTGTGTGTGTGTGTGTGTGTGTGTGTGTGTGTGTGTGTGTGTGTGTGTGTGTGTGTGTGTGTCTGTGGTGGGGCTGCTATGATGCAGGCTTTGACAGGCACACCGCTAGTAAGGTTTGTCAGAGTTATGTAGCGGGCCATAAGGCATGCCTGTTTCTGTTTCTGACGTGTGTGTGTGTGTGTGTGCTCTCCTCTCCCTTGACGTTGGCTTTAGAAGATCCTAACAGTGAAACTAAATAAATGTGCCCCAAGCATCTGCATTCAGAGCATAAGCCTTGAGAACGTCATTACAAGTTTAGAATCAAACCGTTTCTTTCTGAGCTTAGAATTTATTTGTCATGGTGAGAAACAGAAACACGAGGTTTTCCAAAAAAATTCTTTTTAATTTGACTCTGCAGCTGAGAGATAACACTACTGCTTGCCAAATTGTATTCTCAGGACATTCTTTAATCATTATTTAAGGG